GGCCCCAAAAACGATCTGGTTGGCTACAGTGGAGATACGCGAGTATGGGACGTTCTGGTCGAATTACCGGGAATTCCGATTGTGGAAACACACCTATTGTGTACATGACAGCAAGGGTCAGTAACGGCTCCTTTGTTAGCCCAACATTAAAGGAGGCATTGTTAAATATGTTTTTCTAAATAACGCTTAAACACTTGGAGCTAATAACTCAAGGTTTGAGTATGTTGTCAGGGAGGTTAGAGCCATCCCCTGTGCTAAGTTTAACCTAAGTGGGGTCAAAGGTTGCTGTATAGAGGCCAACATTTCACTTTTTTGTTCCAAATTACAAAATGGAGGGAAAATGATTAACTCTCAAATGCTTTGACCTAGGAATCTCAAAATAAATTCTGATCATCATGGGGGTTGAGCCATTCACTGTGCAAAATGTCAGAGTCGCAGCACCTTAGGAAGTGTCAAAGGTCATAGGGGTCAACCAACAGAGGAAATGTGGCCTTTAGGCTTGCCTATTTCCAACACACACATGCCTTTCAGGCAAGGTAAGGCATTTTTTTGTATAGCACACCTTCAGCAACATTGCAATTCAAGGTGCTTTACACGATTCTTCATTTATACATTTGACATTGGGAGCTAACACGCAATAAACAAAACAACAGCAACAATGTTACAACACAACAAGAGGGTTTTTAATAATTGTGATATAGTGGAAATGGAGGAATTACAATATCTTGGATTGTTGATTTATGAAGCTTTGATACATGTGATTGATACAAAACTTATTTTATTTATAGGGCTGGGGTTAACGATCATTTTTAAAATGATAATTCTGTTGATTATTTTATCCCGAATTTATACCAAAGTGTACACGAGCATCTCCACAGAAACACCCGTGACCATGCCGTAGCGCGTGCCCTTCATGCGCACCTATTTAAAAGCCTCAATTTTCATCAGAGCATGAAGTGAGTGTTGAGCGGGTTCCCTGCCATGGAATTCTCCTTTGCTGATCTTCTGTGGTTTTACAATCAGTATTAAAGAACTCAATGGATTGATTTATTGAAATAAAACGAACGTGATGTGGGCCATTCCACTGAATGGGTGCCATTTCCATCCATTTCTGTCCCCATGAAATTATATGTATAAATGTGCAGGAAAATAACTGGTAAATACATTTTGTTATTGTGCCAAAGGTCTTGCATAATGATCTGCGTGCAAATTTAATAAATATGATGGGCAGGATTAATAAAAACTACATTGGAAACACTGAACACACTTAGGCTCCTCATGAGGTTCTAAGGTGAACCCTATTTTCGTTTGATCTCGTTCCGACTGCTTGCATCTACATACTATTTGCTCATAAAAAATAAAAAAATTTGTACTGAGTTCAAAAGTAAAACTTTTTTCAGAATTTAGAAAAGAAAACATGGCTGTAATAGAGGGGAGTCACACTCAGTGGTTCACTGGGATGAAACCTTGACTGCCATATATACGGATGTCATTGCAGTTTCCTTACAATGTTCATTATGTCCTCTTTTTAAATGTTAAACGAGGTTCTTTTTGTCCCAAGCAAAAAGAACCTCATTAAAAAAATTGAGATGTCATTGCAGGTTCAAATCCCCATCTTGGTTTTATACTTCTTGCCATACAGATGGTCAGTGGTCAGTGTTCTAAGTTGGCAGTAGTTAGTTTTGACTGTATTAGAAGGCATAAAGCATTTGTTTGTTTTAGTGAATGAGAAAAAATACTTAGAGCAACACAGCAGCTTGCTGTTTTATAGTAGGGAGGACGTAGTGATTTGTTGCTGTAGGTTTTAACTGAGCTGTTCTCCAGAAAGTGATTTTTGAGTCCAAACAACTTCCTCTCTGTCCATGGACATGAACAGTGCCCCCTTTCATAAAATGTCTGTGTATAGATTCAATTAATTTCCAATTCTCAAGAAATTAGACTGGCTCAGCCCTTTTAAAGACTTTTTCTAAATGTTTACCTTAATTAGATGACTGAAATTCAATGATGCAACACTGGGTCAGTAACAGTTCAATGTAAAAAATAAGGCAATATAAGTTAATAAGGCTGTCTGGACTTTAGTTCCTATTATCTTTTTAAAAGGGGCAAAATGTATCAAATGTATCAAACAAAAAAAAAGCTCTTTTTATTTATAATGTTTTAAGAACTCGCCAAGACCCACTGAAAAAGTTTCATGCATTTTTGAGGTTTATTGACCATATATAAAAAGTTTAGGTTCACTGCTTACATTGAATTTTAAAATATTGATTTTATAATTATAAAATAGGATTTGTTTTATTCAAGTATATTTTACTCCAGTACTTAGCTTTTATCTTGCAGTAAAATTTGTTTTGATGTCTATCATGAAAAATGGAAACCTAATCAAAAATGTATTGCTGTACTGCCATTCTCCTTCTGACCAGTAAATGGTGCAATAGAGCAAATAAATATTAGCTGGCATTCCAATTCTGACCAGTAGATGGCACCACCGAGTGAAGAAACACATACACACTTCAAGAACACCAAAGCCGATGGGGACTGCAATATTGTGTGTTACCACTAGGGGCGCATGGCTACACACACACACTGATTTTGGTTTGAAAATGCTCACATGGGGACTTTAGAGAAATTTGCATATTACGTTCCTATGCACTGTTTTTAAGCTTCCTATGGGGTTGTGCCTGTGGGGACCTCAAAAAAGTCCCCATGGGGAAATGGGTCCCCATGAGCATGCAGACAGTCAGGCCAAGTTCCCCACGGGGTGGGTAAAACAAGTACACACACACACACACACACACACACACACACACACACACACACACACACACACACACACACACACACACACACACACACACACACACACACACACACACACACACACACACACACACACACACACACACACACACACACACACGCACACGCACACCATAAAACTTTGGGTTCTAATAACATGAGCTACTATCTGACAGTCTTTGGACTTAATGAACAAATGAAGATTAAAATGTTCACCAGCTGACATCACACCATGCATCAGCTCCCTACATTATCGAAGACTATCCATGAAGGTAATTAAGAAGGCATTAACCACTACTTCATCTTCAGGTACTATGATGGTAATTTACCAGAGTGTACCTCGTTAAAATTACTACCATCAGACCCGCAGGACGTGGTCGGTGGGTGCACCAGAAAGGCTACCTGTAGGGTTACAGATGTCGATAACATCAGCCAGCGTTGGTTGTTCCATCTCTAGACCACTACAGTTCACCCTAGCAGTCAGCCTGGTCCAGGTCCAGACTCTAGCGAGCTGGTCCACAATTCCAGTTCAAAGGTGAGTGGGCATGTCCCCCTGTGAACCCACCACCTGCAGGAGGACCAGGTGGAAGACCAGGGCAGATGGTTTAGCTGTCTGAGCTCCAAAATGTAAAACTGATGTGAATCAATGTGTGTAGGTTCTTTCTGCTCCTCGTTCCTCTGGAGAGAAGCCTGGAGACCCATCCTGTGTGTGAACATGAGGTGTTTTCCAGGAACACCACTCGGCGTGGTTTGAGCCAGTCCATCCGGGTGTAGTTTCGTTCCCATGCCAGCTCCATGATAGAAAGTGGGCGCGCCCCTCATAGGTGCAGGGGTGGGTGTGCCATTTTTACTCATGACAAAATAACATGAGGTGATCGGTGAACACTGAGGTAACGTGTATGCTCCACAGAAACAACTCTGCACAAAAATGGTGTTGCTGGACATTTTTCCACTTTTATGCAGGCAGTGAAACAAAAACCTCCGGAGCAACCAGTGACTCTGGCCCCTAGCCAATCAGCGGCCCAGTAATGGTAACGGCATTGCAACGATGGGAAAAGTAATTAGATTACTCTGTTACCTAAAAAATAACATGGTTAGTAGCACTGTTATACTTAAACGCAGTTACTCCCAACACCGGTGATCAGTATCACCGATCTGCATCAGTAAAACGGTTTTGCCCCGCTAACCGCTTCAAGTCCTTCTGCTGAGCTCGGGGCCACCAGAACGCCGCTATAGCAACACGTTTACTGGGTAACCGCAGAAGAAGAAATGAGCTCGTCACATGACCAAACAAACGTGCTCAGACCTGAAGCAGTAAGCAAAGAGCACAGTGTGGGAGGAGCTTCCTCTTCGTTACTTCGATCTTGGAACACAACAAGCCTCACATCAACGCTCTGAGCCTGGCAGGACACGGTGCAGCAAACTGAACGGAGACCAGCAACAGGTCAGTCGGCCATGACGCTCCTGCTTGCGTCGGCCTCCTACTCATTTGTCTAGTGAAATAAAAAGATGCCAGTGTCATTATTTAGTTCGATGGAAGAAAACTACAGGCTGTTGAAACCGTGGCCTCCAGAATGCGTTTCTGAGCACACAAGCAGGGTGTGTGTGTGTGTGTGTGTGTGTGACGTCAGACGGTTCGCTGCGAAACAAGTTCGGAGTCTGACGGTCATCCCACTCTCTTTACTTTTTGTTCATAAGTTAAACGAGTGTGGGACTTTAGTCGTTTCAGAATTACATAAGAGAAGACGAAGCCTTTTATTTCTAGAGCGGGGGCAAATCTTTGTGTGTGGGGTGGGTTTGGTTCCCGGTTAACCGGCTATTAACCATTAAGGAGCGTCAATAACCCGTTACAGATGTATTTACTCGGGTTACCTTTGATATTTAAATGTGTTTCTGATGTAAATCAGTAAAATAGGGCCGATGCTTCTTCACACAAGTACCAACGCTCATGCTGCTATGGATTCAACTCGCTATAATCCATATATATTAATGATTACTCATCTCTTTGCCATTTAGATTGTCCCGTCTGCTGAAGATGAATTTGTGATGTATAGCATCGGACATTTTTAATATGTGCCAGTTCATTTCATCAGACTTGATTCAGAGTGATGTGTCATTAACCTGCGTGACCTCACACTCAACCTTTCCATCCTTCCCAGCAGCCAGCCTTACTGGTGTGTAACGGCTGATTCCTGTAAACTCACCCAGCTGCTCCTGGTTAGACCCTTCCTCCATAAACGTGATCCTCTCCAGGACGGCCCAGAAGAGCACCCCCAAGGAGAAGATGTCTGCTTGGGCAGTGTAGCTGAGACCGCCCCAGACCTCCGGGGCCATGTAGAAGTCAGAACCACAGGTGGAGGAGAAGTGCTGCCTGGTCGGATCACCATTCACCACACATGCACTCATCTTACTGAGACCAAAGTCCGCCACCTTCAAGAGAAGCAGGGAGACAAAGGAGAGGAAATTCGCTTGTATTCCAGAAACTAAAGCACATTTTCTAGAGTCGCTGGTGTTTTATGCGTTCCTACATGCAACCCGAAAGGCAACACGTGACCCAGAACTAGGGATGCAACGATACCACTTTTTCCAAACCGATACGATACTTGGATCCGAGTACTCGCCGATACCGAATACCGATACTTCTACCACACAAAAAAAGCAGATTTTATTTTCTTCTCTGCTTTCAACAGGAAAAGACTGTGAGGTAGATAAAAAGTAAGATATATGAATGGAAATCACCACAAAACTAAAATATTAGGTGATCAGAAATGACAAGTTACAGTGAAGCCATTTTCAAGCAACTGCATTGGTATCGGTTAACTTCTACCGATACCGATACTGGTATCGTATCAGTGCATCCCTACACAGAACCTACATCAGGTCTTTAGTAGTGGGCTCAGTGGAAAGTTTATGAACATTTAACATCTAAGCAGCTGCATGGTGGCGCAGTGGTTAGCACTGTTGCCTCGCAGCACGAAGGTTGCAGGTTCGAAACTTGGCTGCGGCCTTTCTGCGTGGAGTTGCGTGTTCTCCCCATGCATGTGTGGGTTTCCTCCGGGTTCTCCGGTTTCCCCCACAGATCACAACACGCCCTATAGGTTATAGATTGTAAGTCGCTTTGGATAAAAGCGTCTGCTAAATAAACACAAATATTTGTGTGCACGCACACACACACACACACACACACACACACACACACACACACACACACACACACACACACACACACACACACACACACACACACACACACACACACACACACACACACACACACACACACACACACACACACACACACACACACACACACACACACACACACACACACACACACACACACACACACACACACACACACACACACACACACACACACACACACACACAGGGCCATTTATATGGATACACCTTAATAAAATGTGAATGGTTGGTGATATTAACGTCCTCTTAGTGGCATATTAGAATATGTGAGGGGGCAAAATTTTCCAGATGGGTGGTGACCATGGTGGCCATTTTGAAGTTGGCCATCTTGGATGGAACATTTTGTTTTTTCAATAGGAAGAGGGTTATGCGACACATCAAACTTATAGGGAATTTCACAGGAAAAATAATGGTGTGCTTGGTTTTAATGTAACTTTATTCTTTCATGAGTTATTTACAAGTTTCTGACCACTTATAAAATGTGTTCAATGTGCGGCCCATTGAGTTGGAGTGTCAATGCACATTTTCCATTCTTCACACACTGATGGCAACACCGCAGGAGAAATGCCAGGTCACCTGCTTGTGCATAATTATACGTCTCTAGGGAGCTTCCTGAACAGGTTTTAGTCATGAGGTTCTGCACTTTGCCTCAGACAAACTTATGGTGGTTAAATGTTCTGGATAATTTTGCACTCCGCTGCCACACTGGATTTGAAGCGGGCGCTGAATAATTCAAAGTTCTCCAAATGAAATGCCCAGAAGTCAACCAGACTCTCTAAAAGATAGAAGGGCTTCCACTTCCCCCACGATGTTGTGCTCTTGTGCACAATGTCAAGTGCGTCAGACGCGCTCCCAGCTCCTCCTCGGCGTGCCACTTGCGCACTCTGTCAGCAGCGAGATGCGGAGAAAATGTGAGATAATGCTCAGATGCACTGATCTTTTCCTGATTGTCCTTGATTGTTACCTCTACCATCTTCTCTGCGTAATGTATGAAATATCTACACACCTGTGTAACAAACTTACTCAAGGGCAAACAAACAAATCAGTCACCTATTATAAAAAAACAACTGTTGAATGGCAGCCCATCGTCTATGGTCGAATAATTCATCCTAGCTCTACGTAAAAGTTGCCGTTAGCTGGTCAACACCATCTCAGTTTATCCAAATGAAGGTAGTTCAAAGTGCTTTTTACAACAGGCAAGATCTTTGACCAGCCACATATATAACTTTAGTCTATGTTTGGCTGAAAGTCTAGCCTGGCCACTACCCATAGATCGATCATAGACAACTGTAGATTCTGCCTCACAACTGTCTTTCAAACCGTCTCCTTATGCTACTGGACAGCGCTAGGACCAATGTCAATGGCGCAGTCTACCACCGTAGAAAAAGATGCAAAGACGTTTCTAAATAAAGAACTTACATTGATCTATCCGCTATTGAACCAAAGAAAAGCATAAGTCTAAATTAGTCGCAGCAATGAGAGATGAAAAGTATCACTATTCAATCTTTTCCTGAATAAATTCAGCCTTAGTTTAAAAAAGATAGTTACCATATTTTCCGGACTATAAGTCACACTTTTTTTTCATAGTCTGGCCGGTCCTGCGACTTTAATACCAAATTATGTATACCGCGCTGCTGCGGGCCGGCTCCGGACCAGGAATAAGCTCCTCTGCCCCGCTGGGAGGGTTTGAAACACTGCCATCACCTGCTGAGACCGTAGCGCGCTGCTGCGCCCTGGTTGTTTATTCTGTTATTGTTACCGGTGTTCTGGGAATTTCTCCTACCTGGGAAACCATCCTACCCGTTGTTCCTGAGCATGTGCGCGTATGCGCACAACACAAAAAGGGAACGCTACTCCGTTGTCATATTTGCAGGAAAATAGGTAAGTTGTAAGTATTAGTACTTTTTATTGGCGTTGATACTTGATTTTTAGGTTTAGGGTTAGGGTTTGTGTCATCTAAAACACCGTAAAATGATCCTATGGGTAGGATGTTTTGCCAAAGTAAGACGTTTTCTCAGAACACTGGTACTTGTCTTGCAATGTGAAATGCTTGGTCTCAGATTTTGAAAGAAAAATAAAATTTCTCCCCCAAATGCGACTTACAGTCCAGTGCGACTTATATATGTTGTTTTCTTCTTCATTATACATTTTATGGCTGGTGCACCTTATAGTCCGGGAAATACGGTACATAAATTATTGCATTTAAATCAGTTTGTGTGTGTTCCTTATTGAAAGTAGGGCTGCATGATATTAGGAAAACCTGCGGTATTCGATAACAGCCATTAACATTGCGAAGACGATATTACTTGCGATAAATAAAAACCTAATTCAGGAACAAAAATAATCAAAAACAAAAATAAATAAATCATCTAAATGAGAAAAGCAAAAGATGTGAGGAAAGGGAAAAAGGAACATGAACAAGAAAAGGCAATCGGTGGATCCCGGGAAAAGCAGAATCAGCAAAAAGAGCAGAACAAAGCTAACTCAGGTGTTTGCTAGCCATCTAAATGAAGTGCCGTCTGCCTCGGGGGCGGACATCTAACATATGAGAACCCACCCATTTGGCCAAATGGGTGAAGAGCTCCGTTTGATTTGTAAAAAAACATCATGCTTCCTTTAGATTGACAGAAGGGTTAGGGTTATGTGTAGCAAACATCTGAGCTGACCAGTCACTGCAATATTTATCCGTTCTTTGCGACATGCATATTGTGCATGCTGATGTAGCGATAACGATATATTTACAATATATTGTGCAGCCTTAAGTGAAAGTAATTAATGAGTAGCATAGAAAGTACAGGGCTGCACTTAAAATATTTTTTATACTTTTGATATTTTTTATATTGATCAATAACAAATTTTAATCAATGTGCTTTTTTATATTGTGCAGCCCGAGTCTGAATACTCCAAAGTTGATGCTAAGCCATTTCAAAACCAGCGGTCGCCAACTTAGTCAGCTGAAGTAACATCCCACCCACCAAACTGATAAAGCACTGTGATTGGCCCAATACAGATAGAGCACTGTGATTGGCCCACTACAGATACGGCACTTACACATTAGCGCCGACACAGTCGGGGTTTGGTCGGGCTGGATGGCGTGAGGTCGGTCTCGAATGGGTGGTGTAGTGTTCACATAGACTTCTCAGGAATGCAGAAATCCCTGAACCTGTGGGCGGAGTTTAATACGCACGGGAAAGTCCGCTCCAAAAGTAAATAAAAGGCGGACATGAGCTGTGTTGCTTTTGGAGACTCTGAGCCACATTATTTTATTAATTTTCTGTGTGTGTCCTCATAATCTTGTGCCACACACACACACACACACTGATTTGTCCCCTGAGCAGCTGTCTGCTCGCCAGGGCAAGAGCTCTGATGCGGAGAACAGGCGCGCACACACACAGAACTATTTTTCTCCCGTTCCCATGCTGATCGGCAGCTCTGGAACGGCAGCTCCGTGCTACAGACAGAAGTTCACTCTACAGTATGAAAATGAATCGTGCATGCGGGAAAACCCCCGCTGGCTCATTCTCGCAGATCGGAGGTGGTAGGCGTAATCTCAGCCAGCCAATCTATCCGTAGTGTCACCTGGGTCCCAGTCTGACCGCTGGGGAGGAGGTCTGAGAAAGAGTCGCCTCGGCACCGAAAAATGCAAATCTGACGTTTGTGAAGCCAAATTCCGGTGCTGTTCGATACCTTTTGGGTTCTGAAAATCTGGATGTCAGGTGTGATTCCTGCAGCTCCAGCTAGACAGGTCACCAAATATAAAATAAAAAACACCCAACAAAAACAAACTTAGCTTGTAATATCGACTGGACCTTTTATAAACTCTACTGAATATCCCTTTATGGTTACATCACCATCCCAAAACGGATGGTACAATTTTGATTTGGGTGCATTTAAAGCTGAAGAGCTTGAATCCATTTTACGCTTCACTGACAATGAGATAATGTTGGCTTGATTTTTCTTTCAGAATACCAAACATGTCAACGTTTTAGCTTCTTAACGCTTCATTACCCTTCATACATTTAATATTGAATAATTGTGGCTTTGAGGACTTAGTGGCTCTGTGAAATGTGATGGACATTTTTCACCACACCTGATGTTTTGTACATCAAACCTGTCAGAATAATTCATACTCAGAAATCGGTGGCTGCAGTCCTTACCTTGAGGACTAAATCAATATGTATATAGTGGCCTTTACACGCTCCCCTTCACACGTCTGAGGTAAAGATTCATTCAGGACCGTGGACTTAGCAAAGTTGACATAAAATCACCTGTTTGACTGGACTTTTCCTTACAGACCACAGAACTGCTGGCATCGTCTGTTCATCTCTGCTTTAAGCATTCAGATCACTTTCATTTTTCAATTATAATTTTCATACTTGACTTGCTTTGCCTATCAAATCTCTGAAGATAAAAGCTGTCGTGTGTATGGTAATTACTGTCATTAGACCAGATGAAAGACTACAACACGCGGGCTGCACAACTCACCACAAATCAACACAATAGCAATACAGGACAGAACACTAAAAACACTGAATGTTTGGTTGGGTGGACCTAAAGAAACAATCACATTTGTTTTGGTCATTTTTACATCGTTATTCACGGAGCAGAGGGACTATCCAGAGATGAACTTTTAGAGATGGCGGTCACAGATCTGTACCAGCAGGTGGCAGAGTAGAGATACTTACTAAAACCTATGAATTAGGCCTGGACCCCGCATTTGGAATCATAGGATGTCCAAGGAAGGTTCCGCCTTTCTCGCCTCTGATTGGCTGGAAGAGCTCTCCTAGAATGGCTGTTTCATTCAACAGCAAATAGTCTGTAGTCGTTGCAGGGTGTTACGTTTACAGCCCGATCTTGAGGAGTGTTTTAAGGAAATGACAACCTAGCTCTATAAAAACTATTTTGTCCTGTTTTATAAAAGAACCCGAAATGCATCAAATGTGAGCTTGTAAGTGATCTTGTAGCAATAACCACATGACTGACTTCATATCTGTTGGTTCTCCAGCAACGGGGTTATCTTATGACTTACTCATTATGCTGTTATCTCTCTAAGCTTTCATGGGTTAAGGCTGTTGGCAAGTTAGGACACATCTCTCATTATTTGTTGAAATGTGTATCATTTAATTGAAATTTAATTAAAAGCTGATTATGATTTTGATCTTTTTTTCACCAGTTTTCATTATTCTAGAAGAGACGCAGAGCGGCTGCACCCAGCTGGAGCAGGGTCGGGCTAGCTGTGGGTGGACGATGGCACTGCTGAGCAAAATAAAGCAGTTTTATTATATTTCACACCCAGTAAGACACGCGTGTTTCTCCTATGTTCTCTGCTTTAATAACATAACATCAATGCTTGAGATCCAGCAGGTGTAAAGTAAGTGCAAAAGTGTGATGAAGGCAATAAGATTTATTATAAGTTCACAATTGATGTTTTTCATTTTTTAAACAACAGGAAAAAAAATTATTTTGCAAAACAGGACAGAAAGGCTCTTAAAGTGTCGGGTTCACGTTTTATTTACAAAACTCCTAAAAACAGCTGTTCTGTTGGTGGCAGGAGGACAGTCTGCTCTTATGAAGGAGCCAATCAGAGGCAAGAACAGCAGGATCTTCCTTGGACATCCTATGATTCCACATGACACGGCCTGCCCAATAGAGTAAAATAATTATATTGATCAAGATAAATAATTAGTAATAACTATAAAAAAATGTAGAAATATATTAGAATTCTCTCTTTCTGCAGGTCTAGGAGCAGATTCTTGTTTATCATTTATTGTTTCTTTTTGTGAAATAAATTAAATTGATTTGGGGCAATAAGGGCTTTAGTAAAATTAAAACAAATAATAGTAATAAAACAATAATAATAGTAATAATAAGGCAGTGTGATTTTGTTATACTGTTCCTTCAAACAGCTCCATATTTTGGGGGTTTGAGATAGATGTGTGTGTGTGTGTGTGTGTGTGTGTGTGTGTGTGTGTGTGTGTGTGTGTGTGTGTGTGTGTGTGTGTGTGTGTGTGTGTGTGTGTGTGTGTGTGTTTATTAGGGCTGGACGATATAGAAAAAAGTTTATCGATTAAAAAAAGTATATTGTTCGATATCAATAATTATTGAAAACTATATGAAAAATTAAGAAAATGTATTGTAAGTGCAGCCCTGGCCGTTTTATGTAAATACTTTATAATAAAACAAGTTGGTTTCGTCATCAGACTTGGTTTTTATTGAGTATCTGCAAATTTTGCAAACCACCATTGTTTGTTTTTTGTCAGATTTGTAGGAATGAAAATATTGCCACACAACCTTTTTCGGGAGAATTTCTTCCACCTCATTGATCTACATCTTGTTTAAGTCACATTTCTGTTGGTTTAGGTTAGTGAGGGGAGGGCTTAGTGATTACGCGTGCTTGGGTCTGTGTTTTTGGTTGGCTGGGTGTAAGGAATGACAGTATGAAGCTACCAAAAAGGCTATAACAAAAAAAAGGATGTTTTTTATTAAAGTTTTATTGACCCATTTTTCCATCTCATCACACACCTATCAATAGATATATATTGTTGTTGAATTATTGTCCAGCACTACTATGAATGTCTAAATGAGAACAGTTATTTTAAACATGCTAGAATGAGAAGTGCATGTCAGACGTCAGCAGACTGTGACTGCTTTGTTGGCCGCTGGATTTAGGCACCAGGTCACGGTGAGGGCTCGGTAAATCAAACGTATAAATAGGTTTTTGACCATTGTTTAGGGACTGTAGGTAAAACTGAATTACACATTTTAAAGAGACGGGGAGAAATGGTTAAACATGAACAAAAATAAAAAGGGAAATGAAAGAAACTGAGTATTTTACTCCTGCTGGCCTCTAATCTTTCATTAGTGTGAAAATGCTTTCTCAAGAACACGTCAGAACAATATTCCTACCTTGATGGCAGGACCTTTGGGTGTCACGCAAACCAGAACGTTGTCAGGTTTGAGGTCTCGATGGACGATACCCAGACCATGCAGGAAGGCCAAAGCGCTACAGAGCTGGAGAACAACGTCGTGGTTACGCTGAGGGTCTGGAGGTCTGGAGAGCAGATACTGGTTCAAATCACCTCCATCACAATACTCCATCACAAGCCACAGGGCTAAGCACCGCAGAGGTTCCTTCTGCTCACTGGTCGTCTGGGATGACCTCTTCCTGGCTCTGTTTGGAGATCTCTTTGGAGTTAAAGAGTGATTTGATGTAGCCTTGTCCTGGACCTTAGCTCTGGCCTGGGTGGTGTTGGTCTTATCCTGAAGTCTAGGGGCAGAATTAGTCCTCCTCAGGTTGAATGACTTAACAGTCCTGTCCTGACCCTGTTGTGCTCCACCTACCCTGCCCTTCAGCACACTCTCCACCAGACGCAGGGGCAGTTTTCCTGGGTTCAGGGGTTTCAGGGTTCCGGGTCCAGTCTGCAGGAGGCAGCTGTGCAGAGCAATCACATTCACATGGGTCTTAGCGGTGGCCCTCATGGCCCACAGCTCCTGCAGGTAAAGCTCGACGCTTTCCGGGTTGCTGCAGGGGAGCCGTTTAATAGCCACCCGGTGTCCCGTTCTGGACATGTGTCCCTCAAAGACAACGCCATAGCTGCCCCGGCCCACCTCCCTTTCCAGGGTGTACAACTCCTCCATATTAGCCCTCAGCCTGACGAGATACAACAAAATAAATCAAGAAATTCCGCTAGCATAACGGAATTACATCTTACAGCCAGCTTAACCACTCTGCGATGTTTAGCTAACTGACATTTTTATTACGCTACAAACAAAAACACCACTAGCATTTCATCAGAAGTTAACTCTTAAGAAGCTCACACACATCTGAGGACACAAACATTACTTTAGATGTTAAAACTACCTTCATGTGCAACAAGCGAAGCCAAACTCGACACGGTGAAAACTTACCCTCTCGGACGCAGCTCGTCTCATAAGAGGTAAACAACAACAACGCTACATAAAATCTGGTCGTCTCGCATCACATTTACTGGTTATAGGCTCGTTTATCGCTTAATTATCTCTTATAAAGCCAGAAGTGACGAGACAAAACTAATTTCCGTGTGTGAGTTCAGAGCGTCGCGCGCTGCCTAAACGTGAATCGTGATTGGCTATGAAACTGAATAGACGTCTTCTGATTGGTTGAGAGCAGCGCAGCTGCTGCATGTTCGAAATTCAAACCAGACAACGTGGCGCTCTGATTGGTTCTCAGAGATCTCGTTCACAAGGCGATGAAATGTTGTAATCAGTGAAATCTATGTCCAGTTTTAAACATCAAAGATTATTTATTCATAAAGATTTACATATCTTGAACATTATAAGTGTGTCACATGAGAATATCTGTTTTATTTAGCTGTATGCTTCATTGTACTTAGAATATTTTAGCCTCTATGGTAAAACAGGAAAGAAAACAATCAAACTGAATTATTTTATGGTCTGGAAGGCACATAGGAATAAAAATAGTTCATGCATTTGTTCATTAACTGGTTAACACTTTAATATCAAATTATGCAAATAGCAAAACTACTTACAAAAGCACTGCCCATGCTTGTGTGGCACAGTGGGAAATGTTTGTATTTTAAATTGCATGATGGGATTTGCAGGGATGAGTTCCTGCCCCGTTGGAGCTGTTGCCTTGCAGCAAGAAGGTCCTGGGTTCGATTCCCAGCCTGGGATCTTTCTGCATGGAGTTAGCATGTTCTCCCTGTGCATGCGTGGGTTCTCTCCGGGTTCCTCCCACAGTCTAAAAACATGACTGTGTGTGTGTGTGTGTGTGTGTGTGTGTGTGTGTGTGTGTGTGTGTGTGTGTGTGTGTGTGTGTGTGTGTGTGTGTGTGTGTGTGTGTGTGTGTGTGTGATTGTTTGTCCTGTGTGTCTCTGTGTTGCCCTACGATGGACTGGCTCCCTGTCCAGGGTGTACCCCTCCTGATTGCCCATTGACCGCTGGAGATAGACACCAGCCACTATGCCTGGTGGGTGCGATGATGCAACAGAGTGAAACAAGAGTATGTCACATTCATTGTCCAGTAGCATGCGGAGATCATTTGAAATACAACGATAGAACCCGCCCCACAACCGAGAGCCGTCAATGGAGCGTTGCCAGACTAAATAATACATTTATTTAGTCTGGCTTGCCAGGCTACTTTTTCCTGTCTTTCTCTCCCTTTGAGTGCCTTCGATATTTGCTCTGCTTTCTTCTTCCTGTCAGTGCTCCTGTGCTTTTGCCTTTCTTTATTTTTCTTCTATTTTCCATTTTGGTCTATGTTTTCCTCCCTTTAAACATTTTCCATTGTCTTTCCTTTCTGCTTCTTTTTGATGTTTACATCGAAAAACGACGTCACTTTTGGAAGTGAAGATAAAAGCTTTTTTAAAGCATGCTGCTTCTTTCTCTTCCCCACATCACCCCGCTTCTCCTCCAGCTTCACTGGCTGCCAGTCAACTTCAGGGTTCATTTCAAGATCCTGGTTCTGGTCTATAGGGCCTTACATGGACAAGCACCATCTTACATTGGTGATCTTCTTAGTCCCTACACCCCCAGCAGGTCCCTGAGGTCCAGTGATCGAAGCCTACTGGTTGTGCAGCACCAGGCTAAAGGTCAAAGGTGACAGATCATCTGCTGCTGTGGCCCCCAGACTCTGGACCTCTCTCCCCCTGAGCCTGAGATCAGTGGACTCAGTGGTCTCCTTTAAAAAGCAGCTGAAGACTCACTTGTTCAAGCTGGCTTTTGGATGACCTTCTTCACCTCTCTCTCTTTATTCTGCTCTCCCCACCTATTCCACCTTCCTCAGGATCCACTGGTTTCCCTCTTTCCTGTTCACTCTCTCTCTTTCTTAACAGTTTTCAAATCACAATTGTCTATTTTTGCTCATTTTAAATATATTTTTAAACATTTTCTAAATGCTTTTTAATATTTTTACATTTTCTGTTTTTGTGAAGCGCCTCGTGATTTTTATCTTGAGAGGCGCTATAGAAATGATGTTTTCTTCTTCTTCTTCTTCTTCTTCTTCTTCTTCTTCCTCTTCTTCTCATTGGAGCCACTAGGATAACTCCATTTCATGCTTCATGTTTTGACTCTCGCTTCGAGTTTGTTACGAACGCTCCCGCCTCTCTTCTTCTTCTTATTTGTGGTCTCATGGCACTTGGCAAACAACAAATTGGTGCATTACTGCCACCAACTGGATTGGAGTGGAATGACTACCAATCACTTCCTGTTTGTGCATCGGTCTCAAAGGAACAGTCCATAGTGGCATTAACAGAGGGGTGCCAGCAGTCAGGGCTAAGGGGCCCCCCAACATAAGGGGGCCCCAAGCGGCCGCCGACTTATGCCTAATGGTAAAACCGCCACATTTGACTAACAACAACAAAATTCTCCCACTGACTCTGTTTGCTTTGCAATGTGGATGTTTTATCTCCACAAATAGCCCACGCCTGGAGGAGTTCCACTGTGTGGTAGAGATGCTAATGCTAACAGTTAGCTTCTACTAGCTGAGATGCTCTCTGCTGTTTCCTGAATGCTAAACCAACAACAGCCTTCCCTGTTGTGAGTGAAGATGGGTGAGTCCATGAATGTTAGTGATAGTGTGACATAGATCTGTCAGGCTTTTCTAATCCTAGAGTTTCACTGTCTACTTTCGATCAGAAGCTAATGCACGAGATAGGTAGGAGACTATTTTTTTATTCAGCCTGCATGAAAAGCTCAGTGTGACCGATTTTAATCAGAAATAATCATTAAAAATAAATTTTCAGGGTTCCACACCTTTAACCCTCCCACTGTCCTAATGGGTGTGACCCCGTGAGGAAAGATGACCACTGAGCAGGATTGATGGTTCATTCCTTGGGTCCATGTGGCAGGGGTGAGGTGGTGCTCACTCCTCACCCCTGCCACATGGACCTCAAGGGACAAACCATCAATCCTGCTCAGTGGTCATCTTTCCTCACGGGGTCACACCCATTAGGACAGTGGGAGGGTTGAATAAGTTGTTTACTAGATGATGCATTTTATTGAAAAGATGTTTCATTAAAATAAAAAGAGAAGCACACTGAGTGGGTGCTTCAGGACCGACTGAATAACAACAAGGTGAAGACAGTTAGCAGCTTGTGTGTTTGTGTGTATGTTCTACCAGGAAACAGGGATTCAGTGCACTGGTGCAAATGTGGAAGAAAAGAGCAGCTTTAGATGAGTGTCCCTGTGTGCTGATGTGAGCTTTTGCTTTTATCAGCAATGACGATTATAAATATTCATCATTACTCTGGGGAGATGGAGTCAGTCACACTTCACTTGGTTTTATCTCAAAGCAGATTCTATTCACTCTGTCATCATATCTCATTTGCTTTGAAAAATCTTTGGATGCAGATATTGGGTAAAAGAGTGAGTGCACTTTACTTCAGGAGTTTAGAAGGAAGTGTTTGATTGATTTTAAAGCAAAACCCCTAAGAAGAGCTCTACTGGCACAACAAAGGAAAGGTGCTGATGAGTCCATAAGAGTTATAGTCTTAATCACCTCTGTTTTCAGGCTAATGGAGTTTCTGTGGCAGCTTTGCATGCTAATTAAGTGGTCCACCAATTGGAATGGAAACAGTAATTATTTTCATGATTGGGGTCAAAACCCTTGCATTTAATCCTGAGGTCTATCTAGACCGCCCCCTCACATGAAGAGTAAACATCGGTAAAAATCTCCCAGACAGCCGTACTTACTGCCGTCACCTTTAAAATGTTCTTTTTCTCCTCCTCAAGTCATCTAAACCCAAGGTGGGTTTAACTAGCCGTTAACAGACATTAATCACCGTGTTACACAAACAAAGCAGCGATTTTGACAGCTATCTGAGACCTGATTGGTTGGTCAGACAAAGCCTCTCATTGGCTCTTTGGGAAGGAAGCTACAGAGAACTGACACACATTGTTTAATAATGGGCTGCAAAGTGATGCAGTGGCTAGCACTATTGCCCTGCAGTGGGTTCAAACTCCGGTATGGGGTCCTATGTTCTCCTTGGGCACGTGTGGGTACTCACCAGGTACTCCGGCTTCCCCCCTCAGTCCAAATGTGCAACTGTCAGGTTGATTAGTCTGTCTAAATGGTCCCTAGGTGTGTGTGCTTGGTTTGTCTGTCCTGTGTGTCTCTGTGTTGTCCTGCGATGGACTGGCAACCTATCCAGGGTGTACCCCGCCTGTTTGCCTGGAGACAGCTGGAGATAGGCGCCAGGTCCCTGAGACCCTGCATGGACAAGCGGGTACAGATCATGAATGGATGGATGTTTTGTACCTGCAGACTGAGATGTGTGTTTTCAAACATTTACATAGATTGTTTTGATTTATGGATTTGTGTGTATGTTCTGCCCAACATTGGTGCCAGTGGTCCCTCCGACCACCACCAGCAGGCAAGGTGGGCTAAGTGTCTTGACCAAGGACTCAACAATAGCATTCTCAGGTCAGAGCTGGGATCGAACCTACAACCTTCCAATTACTGGACAACCTGCTTTACCTCCTTTGTTGCTGCTGCTGCCCATGTATTATACTGCTGCACATGTATTATACTGCTGCCCATGTATTATACTGCTGCACATGTATTATACTGCTGCACATGTATTATACTGCTGCACATGTATTATACTGCTGCCCATGTATTATACTGCTGCACATGTATTATACTGCTGCCCATGTATTATACTGCTGCACATGTATTATACTGCTGCCCATGTATTATACTGCTGCACATGTATTATACTGCTGCCCATGTATTATACTGCTGCCCATGTATTATACTGCTGCACATGTATTATACTGCTGCCCATGTATTATACTGCTGCCCATGTATTATACTGCTGCACATGTATTATACTGCTGCACATGTATTATACTGCTGCCCATGTATTATACTGCTGCCCATGTATTATACTGCTGCCCATGTATTATACTGCTGCACATGTATTATACTGCTGCACATGTATTATACTGCTGCACATGTATTATACTGCTGCACATGTATTATACTGCTGCCCATGTATTATACTGCTGCCCATGTATTATACTGCTGCACATGTATTATACTGCTGCCCATGTATTATACTGCTGCACATGTATTATACTGCTGCACATGTATTATA